ATACCAATTGATTTGGAAAAGGAATCAAAACAATCACCCTTTTTTAATAAAGCTTTAAAATTGGAAGTAACATCCATAAAACTCAAATGAGTCAAATTAAATTTGACTATGTATTAAATGGTCCATATACTCGAAAACGTCTTTACAGTTACTACGTTAGCCTGCCTGTTTGCTTCGTTCCTATTGCCAGTCTCAAAGGAAATCTCAATGCCCAGTCATCATCCTACTGTCTTGGCACTACCAGCCACAGTTTAAGTACAAGGTCTAATTCTGTAATACAACAAGCTCACTACTGAGTAAGCTCCCAGCAGTGACCATACAGTCACCCTGTTTGCAACTCCCTTTCAACTTTATTCCAGGGATCTAGTACTTTTCAATTTACTATCTGAATCCCTAACTAGTCACCGCTTAGCAAAGCTATATGTACCTCTTTTAAAACCCTCACAAGCCATATCCTTCTGTCTCTTTATAATCCTTTATAATTTATTTCTTAAATTAATTATTTCAAAGTATGTTGACATTTTTCAGTATCAAGATGCCAGGAATGATATATAATCTTTGAGATACAGGAGAACCAATTGCTAACAGATATAGGTAGTACATTTCCAAGAACCAGTCTGAAGCGGCTCTGGAGGTAATACTATCTAACAGTTTAGTTGGTCTAAAAGCAAGAATACTTTTGTACTCTCTCTCCCATAAATGCATAAAAAGTCTTAGTCACTTGTTATAACTATACATCAGTGGGAGTCTTCTGATCTTTTTTTTCTTCAGAATAAAGAAGTACAGTACTTCAATTTTAACTAAAGAAGCTTTCTGAGGGAAATGGGCAAAGTAACTTATTTCGTTCTCCTCAGAGTCAATTATATAGCTTCAATTTACCTTGCACCACAATCAGGGAATACCAGCTCTGTGCTCTCACTCCTGTCTAGCGCTAGGCTTTGAAATCTCAGGAGCTTAAGTCAAAAACTTAATCTAATTTCTTCTCTGTGGATATTTTTGTTCTCAACTATAAAGGAAACGTTACACAATGACTAGTACACAGCTCAAAACACAGCTCAAAGCTGCCATCTCTAGGTATTACATCATACTACACACTAAATTATTTTTGGGTTTTTTTAAGAGACCGAATATCTGGAATGAAAAAATACCAAAAGTTTACCCTAAAAAATTTAATTCAAGAACTTATTACAAAAGTATGTACTTTTTCACTTGAAATTTCTTCAGCTTACATGATCAGTTCCTTTTGGCCCATGTAATATTTGACATTTGACATAATCACTAGTACAAGCAACATATTAGTTAATTATTGGACATGAGTGCTGCTGTGTTCATTATTAGTGAATTCTAATTACTAATTAACATGTGCCTTTGACAACAGCAACAGCTTCTGCACTACACACTTGCCTGTCACTTTCATTAATATTAACAAGAGTTGCGTCTCATCACTGAGCTCCAAAAAGATGTCTGAATTAAGATAGGTCTGTGATATTTAATATTTGCTGGTTAAAGTATCTCTAAAATGGTTACCCTTTAATCGGGAATACCTCAAGAAAATATTAGCACTGTCAAATAAAAAGGTTAAATGATATTTTAAGTCTTTACTCTGAACTGCTAATGATACATTATTTGACTGTTTCCCAACTAAAAGGTCCATGCTCTACAAGAACTGTAATAACCAAAAGATACTGGTCAGGAAGATCTGACCTTTCAAAGAACAGATAATACATTAGTAATGAAACAGGGAACCGATGAGAAGAAAAGCAATTTTTGAGTTGATGTCAGGGCATGCACAGAATCTAGTTCACATTACTACCGAAAACCACCTCTACAATGTTAACCATGCCAGGTACAGATTCAACGTCTCAGGAAGAGCAACAGATGCCAGGAAAAAATCCACCCACACCTACAAATCTGCTTAATTCAAAAGGAGCACTATATAAAAGGAACACTGATCATAAAAAGAAACTAAAAGGCACAACTAAAAAGGATAAAATCTCTAATGACAAGATGAAGATATTTTAAGAACATCCACCCAGATCACATGAATGTTTCCCATTAAAAAAAAAATTCCCATTACAAATAACAAAATAAATAACGCTTAACTTAACAGGAGGGTAATGGAGACTGCTAGAAGAAAAAGTATACTTCAAAATAAAGGTTCAAAACCTCCAGCACATTAGAATGCAGAGACATATAAATGCAGTCCATGAAAAAGTTTAATGAGCTGCCTGCAAAATTATATACAAAGTACTAATACATAATTTTTCAAATACCTTACAAATATAGCCAACTAGATAATTTATGGTGCCAGCAGACAGTCTGAAGGAGTATTCTGAGAAGATAAAGCCACAGTAACAAAATGAAGTTAACTAACTTTCCCATATGAGTTCTTCATGGTAGACTTTACAAGTATTTCCATAGCAGAAATTAGTAACAGAAGGTTATAGTAAAAAGTAAAAAAAAAATCTGATTAAATAAATCAGCAAGAGCAGTTCTGAAGGAATTTAAGAACAAAACAGCTGACCCTTGTCCATAGTGTGTAACTCACTCCTTAAAAATGTGTCATTACCAAGAGACTAACTAGTAACAGGCAGAAAAGATAGAATGCAGTGAACACTGCATGGGTAAGACAGACTGAGGAACGTCTAACAACTTCTGAAGAGAGAAATTATATTTGCAAATCATTGGATTTTCTTGAAGGAATCAAAGGTTTAGTTGATACAGTTACCTGGAATTAATGAAAGATGCTTGATAATGTTCCTCATGTCTTAAAAAAAACTAAGCTGCTCTGGGAAGATCAAGACAGGTAACACAAAGGTAAATAATTTGATAATGAATAGCTTGGGAAAAAAATGCTCACTTCTTAAATGAATAGAGGTCATTAGCAGTGTCCCACAGAGATCTGAAATTTGCATTTGTTTTGTTCAACATACTCAAAAAACAATATGGCACAGGGATGAATGGAAAAATGACAATTTTTTTTTACAATACTGTGTTACTCAAAATAGCTGAGACAATGGTCAAAAGGAAAGAATTGCAGAATAATGTCATAATACTGAATGTGTGATACAAGGACAAATAAAAGGGTAAATAAAAGTTCACATAGATAAGCATGAAGTGATGCATACAAATAAAAAACATTTAAGTCTGTACCTAGTGGTGGGTTTCGAATTGACTAGAATGAGATCTTGAGGTTATAATGGATATTCTGTGAAAATACTAGTTCAAAGCCATCAGCAGATTTTCAAAAAGCTAATATACTGTTAAGAAGTAATAAGAAAAAATTAGACCGTTAATTCTACAACATTAATCTCTGAGGTGCCAATACACCAGAGACTGTGCACCCCCCATCTCAGAAGAGATATAACAGAACTATAAGAGGTAGGGGCAATGACACAATGTTATCTAAGGTATGAAATAGCTCCATTCTGGAGGATTATTAAAAATGTAAGGATTTTTCAGCATGAAAAAGAAATGATAGAGAGAGGATATGATGGTCTTACAGAAAATCGTAAGTGGTACAGAGAAAATAAGTGGAACATAGTATAAAAATTAGGGATTATCAGAATTAAACTGGCTTTCCCAAAAGGAGGTATTTCTTCACAAAACAGACTGAAATTCTTAGGCACAGGATGCTTAAATAAATATATGGTCAGAAAAATTGGAAAAAATAAAAAACATGGATACATAGTCTTTCTACAAAAATACTACGCTTAGAAAATCCCAACTGCAGACTAGGACAGGAAGGTTTTATATGTTCTTGTCATTTTTTCTTATATTCTTCCTTAGGCATTCACTATTAGCCATTATTCAAGCCATGTTACCAGGCTAGATGAAAACTCTGGTCTGACTTGATACAATCTTTTTTGTTCTTCTCTGCTGGAGGTGTCTTACACAAACAACTGAAAATCTGGGATACTAATTCTGTATTTCTCCATCGGAGTTAACAAGTTTGCCATCATCTGTACAAGGCTAAATTATACACTGCATTCACTTTTGGTCCTTCATGTTTTGGAGACATGACTAACACTAGCCATAGATTAACAAATTAACAAAAGGCAATTTATTTTTTTTTAATAAAGATCATTTCTGTCTGCATATTCTACCAGTACAAAGAATCCTTTTTTCTTTTTTTTTTTTTTTTTTTTTTTTTTTGTGAAACAAGCCTTTAAAAGTGCTTTCAATAAAGCAGCATGCAGACTACATGATACCAGTAGAAGTAAAACTGGCAGCAGTTCATATTTGAACTTACAGTAAAACAGTACTATAGAACAACAGTTTGTATTTTAATACTGCTCTGGTTCTGTACTAAGAAAAATAAAACAAATGAAAACTTATTTCTTACTGTCATGGACTTCAGGGGCTTAATGACCCTGACCAGCCTCACCCAGGGCTCAGCCATGGACCCTCAGCCCCTGACTACTTGTGATCCTGCCTTCTGGATGGACCTGGACCGATGCTTGTCTCCTGGATGGACCTCTCAGGCATACGTTGTTGCTTTCTATCCCATCTTGTCTCTGGCCACGTCCCTTTTTCCTCCTGACTGGGCTCCCTGGACCTGGGTCATCACTTGCCATGTCTGATACTGTCAAAGGACCCTGCTACCAGCACTCGGCTCTGCCTGCTGGGCTCAATCCCTGGGGATGGTGCCAGGTCAGCAAGGGCACTGACCACACGGGGGTCACCTTGACCCTTGAAGGGGAACCCAGCTCCCCTTCCCTTCCCCACAACAACTCCTATTATATAAAGCCCCTTTCATGGGCGGGTTCAGCTCTGAGGGTTTATGGTCCACTAATAAGTGACTTAGATGCATTGAATAATTGGATTTTTGGAAAAAGATTGTGCAATAGATCTAAGTACTGAATAAGATACTAATACAAAATGCTTAGGGACTAGAAATTAAATTATCCTCAAAAATCTACGTTCATGATGAATCATTTTAAGATCGCTAACAGCACACACAAAAAAATCCATTAAATAGGATGCTGAGGAGTCCAAACCTGATATAAAGCAAGAGTGTGTCCATATCTCTGGAGTGGCCCTTTGGATACAGGTACAACATTCCATATACTGCTTTCCAAATTGTAGCTAGAAGAGAAATAGAAAAGTAAACACTCTCTATCTGCAGAGGAATAGGGACTTCTGTATGTTTGAACTAACTTCTGTTTGGCAAAGTATGCACACTTGACCACTGTAGTTTATCTGACATTGTAATTTGTTAACAGCAGTAGCATGATCACTTTTAACTGTTACAACACCATACTAGCTAGTGATAGTGTTTCTAAATGCTCATCAAAGAAAACAGAAGCATCTCTTTCAGGAACCCATCAGCAATCGCAAAAAATAGGACTGTAATAAAAATTACCAGATTTTCAAGAAAGTTACGAAACTAGATTGCTAAGCTCACTGTTATCAGTCACACAAAGAAAAAAAAAACACTAAACTTCTTATGCCACAATCTTTTGCTCTAGTTTGAAAACTTAGCGTTGAGCACCCCCTAAGGTGTAAGGTTTCTATTAAATTTTAGTTAACAATTAATCCATTAATGGATTAAAACATAACAAGATGGAAGAGAAGTAAAAAGTAAGAAGACAGAGACAGAAAAGGAAATCACCAAAGACGATGGGATTTGTTTTGGTTTGCAAAGGTACGGACAAAAGCAGGAGGCAGACAAAAGTAGAGTAAACATGCTAATAAACATATCCTATTACTTCCATTTACCACATTTAGGGCCTGTACATATATACAAGTCACTATACACATCATAAATATGAAGAAGTGAAATATGGATGACCTGATGAACCTTACTGGCAGGGCCCCAACAAGCTAAGTGCATACATTAAATACAAGTCTCCTATAATTATAAATTAAATTGAACAATGCAAATAGCATTCTAGATGTCCATCTGAAAAATATTACCACATGGGTTTCTTTTGCTGTTTTGCCACTACAAACATTTTTATGTTTGGCAGCAAAGTATAGTAACAGTTTTCATAAAACTGAAGAAGTTAAGTATTAGTATCACATATAGCTCAATCTTACCCATATTTTAACCTTTTTTAGTCATAAGAAAATTACAAGCAGAAAATAAGACTGTTAATAAAGAATCTAAAACGACATAAAAAACTTTCAGTTACGATATTGCAGGATAGAGGCTACCTCCCTGGTAAGATCTGTTTTCCCTAAGCCACGTCAGAAGGGATACGACAAAGGAGAAATCACTTACTTCAACACCATTTGGAATGAACTGTAGTTAAAAGTGTATCCACCAATCACCCACATAAATTTCCCGTGGAGGACTGCCTTATGGGAAGCCCGGCCCACAGAAGGGCTGAAGGGCTTCACATTTGGTAGAATCCAGTAAGACTCCGTGGAAGGGACGTTCAAAGAACAATCTGGACCTGTTTGGTAAACAAATGGGCAATTTGTACAATCTGTTAGACAGGGTTGTTAGAGCCAATAAAGCAGAAACAGGGGAGGCTTAATTACAGATGTCAGGATTACTCATTCTGATAAAATACAGTATAGACTTTTACATTTAACAGATGCTCAATGAAAAAAAACACCTGACAAGGGACGTCAGTTAAATTGAAACCCTTAGATTAGCCCAAATAATAATGATATATTTCTGCATTCTTCTCAGAAAATATACTGTATGAGTCACAAAATGAAAGAAAGGCACAATGCATCATATTTTTAGATGTTCTATAGAACTAAAACGTGTAGCACAGTATATACTGCATGTTACCTCTGAAGAAAAACGATACTGCATTTGAACTAACAAGAGTAAGCTTATATCAAAGCAAATAACGTTACAGGAAATTAAGTTACAATATAGATTATAATACATTAAATCTCAGGAATCAAAATTTGCACTTTGCCGATGACATTCTGCATGGTCTTTCAAGAGCAAAATACTGTGGCGTGCTTTATAAAAAGAATGTTTTGATTATTTAAATTTTGTTAAATTGTATAGCGGATTCTACAAAGACACCCAAGCCCACAACTACATATTTTTTTGTAACATATTTTAGCCAATTTTTTTTGCTAAATAAGGATTGTTATTAGTTTTGCTAATAAGGTCAACAAAATGCATCATTTTTAAGTTATATTATTATTAAAATCATGAACAGCAGAAACATTTATTTTTCGTTTGTTCTGTAAAAACAAAATGTGTTCTCTTCATTGTTAGTTTATGCTCTAGATGTGGAACAAATTTAAAATCTGAATATATTCAGAACCTTGCTAAAATAAAATTTTTAAAAGACAGCATATGCACTATTCGCCTCCTGTCAGTGACTGTACAGCGTTACTGACTGGCTTTATTTCTAGATGGGAAACACTGAATTTTTAGGACACCAGCGAGTTCTACCTTAAGCATTATCAATCATGGAATTGAAATTTTTATCATCAGTGATGGCATACAGATATTGGATGACAGTAGAATTACTTCTGTAACGATGCTAATACTATAAGCAATGTGATCTCCCCGTCAGCCTGACTGACTGGGATAAATCCTTCCCTCAAGCTACTGGACGTTACTAAAAAACAAAGCTGTTGAAGTCAGAATGGGCATAACTGTCTTTGGAAACTCAGTGATAACATGCTAAAAACAAAAACCAAACCAAACCAACAAAAAAAACCCACACCACCACCCCAAAAAGCAAACACACAAAAAAAACCCCAAACCACTAGTCTGCATTCCAAATGGTCACACAGGCCATCAACTTTCTAAAAAGGTTCCAGGAAAGATCTTGAAAACTACTGGCCTACTATGCTTCTACTTCTACCTGACAAATCAGCAGAAGCTGTAAGAGTGGACAGCATTAGTCAATAGACAGGTAATTGCCATCTACTCACACAATTCAGTATAGGTTTTGTAAAGAGAAGGCCTGTCTTCCAAGCCTATTAAAGGTCTCTGAAGATATCAAGATGGGGTTATCCAATTGATACACTGATATAGATTTTCATAAGGCTTTTAACAAAATTCCTCACCAAAGACTTTTAAGAAAATTGTTTAAGGAGACTATTGTAGCAAGAGAATGAATGCCTTTGCACGGCTAAATAACTGACTGTGAGAAAGAGAAAGAGGAGTGAGAAAGAGAAAGAGGAGTGAGAAAGAGAAGACAGGAGTAAATGGCCACTTCTTAGAAGGAGGGAGGTCACCCATGGAGTCCCACACAGGTTCAACATACACACTAATGATCCTGAAAAGGGATGATAAGTGAAGAAAGTCTGCTGATAAAGGCAATTACTGGTGGCCAGAAAGAGTAAGATCAGGTTTGAAGAACCAAAGAACAAGTTCTTGTCTGACTGTGTGACTCAGCAATAAAATTATGCATGAAATTCAACATACATAAATTTTAAACTATGTAACCTATGTTCTAGCTTGACTAAAAAGAAAATAGTCTCTCAATTAACCATCACTAGTCAGTAGTAAAGTCTCATCTTAAGATCTTAACTCATGAAAGTATCACCTCAACAATCAGCAATGGTCAAAAAAGCAAATCATATGTTAGGAACAGAGAACACTGTTACCTCACTGTACAAATCAGTGGTTTGCCTACACTTAGAAAACTGTGTGCCCTACTCAAAAAGAAGATAGGGCTGGAGACTGTTTACAGAAGAGTAATGAGGTTGTTCAAAGGAGTTGAATGGCTTCTGTAATTGGAACTACTGGGTTGGCTAGGACTTTCTCACTTGGAAGAAATTTGGAAATGAAATTATAAATGTCTATAAAATAAGTAACACAGAGAGGGTGGATATGAAGAGTCTACAGTCTCTTAGACTACAAGAACCAAGATTTATCAAATGCAGCTTGAAGAAGCCACATTCTAAATCTACAAGAGGAGGTAGTTTTACATGCAAGAAGTATCAGATCTTCTTGGCGAGGAACCCTGAAAAAGGATGCTCTAGATGCAAAGGTTTATATTGAGTCAAGGAGAGACTGGACAAGAATTTAGAAGAGAGCTGCTGATATTTGCTAAATAAACTAGGTAATTTACATCAAGTTCATAATCTTAAAACATACTATCCTTTGGGAAGACTACATTTTTCCCAATGTGTATTATCATTTTTTGGGCAACTTCTTACAATTAGTTCTTACACACAGTGACCAGGCAAATAATCTGTACCTAACCAGTTGTCAGCTTTTCTTAGTATTCTATAGAAGAATTATGTCCACTTGTATCCAAATTACCTTCCATTCATTAAATGATGGAGACACTAAAATCCCATTGTTCATTATACCTTCTCCCAGAAAAGATGAATGGTATTTGAATGGGGTCTAATAAGAGTATGAACAATTCAGTATATTATTTCTTAACCATTAATAATAGATACTGTAATAGAATCGTAACCTCAGCAAGATTCTGGTTTGATAAATCACTGGAGGAAACACTTAATTTTAATCTAAAAGTGCTTAAAAATAAACAACTGATTAAGTACTCTTTGATAAGGGAAGAGCTTAGAATTATGAAACTGCTGCTTCCAGTCAGAAAATGAAGATACGTTTATGTCTTTCATTGCAGCTGCCATTCTTGCACAGCCATGTAGTGGTCAGCAGTGTCCCCTAGTGGCAAACAGTGACTAAATCACACTAACTACTCGCGTGCCAATTCATTCGAGATTTTCCTTTCTGGAGACAGCAAACCGCAAGAATTCATATCGCGAATCCAGAATATCTTTAAATGACATTGACTGTATCAAAATGAAGACAAGCACAAACTTTTTATAAAAACTGAACAGTGCAAAATCTTAACACCACTGTTAACCAGATCAGTGATTGAAAGAATGTCGCAGATAACTCTCTTACAACCTCAGTGCTTCATTGTCTACACTGAATGACAGAAAAGGTGAAACAGAGAGGAGAAACACCTTGTACCCAGGTCTTGTTCTGGTAAGGAGGAATGACACATTCTAAGGAGACACACCTGAACTCAGGAGCTTGAAAGCAGCAGGTTTTCTTCAAAGAACACATCAATACCCTGTGCGTGACGTACACATGCATTGAAGTCAACTATGTTGACATTACCACCAGAACAGGCCCCCCTGGCTTCCCCTCGCTGCTTGCACTTCAGCTCTCATTGCTACTGGCAGCACTTTTCACGTGGCTGCACCATGAACCAGATGAGGGAACGCACCCAGGTTAACACTTGCTTTTATTTTTAGCCAGGCTAGCTTTTAATCTGGATGTGTTCCCTATATGTTTCACCTTGCTGACATGCACATGGTTGTGCCAACACAAGTAAGTCTGCACGGCCAAGACTGCCTCTTCAGTGAAAGTGTAAAATATCCATGGAGTTACCACAGCATGTATCAACTGGTACAAAAATGCAATACATAGTTGAAAAAACCCAAAGCAGTAGAATAATACCAACTTCTACCAAACCATCATTTAAAGAGCAAATGCTTTTGTGTGGCTATTGCCTTCTAAAGGCAAACTAAATGCAGGACTTGCAAATATCTTTTACAGATTTTCTTATACACCTATACCATGAAATATCACCATTATTTCCGTGTAAATACATTTTCTCTTCAGAAACATCACATTCACTAAATACATGCCTTTTGTGCAACAGACAGCACTACATCTGCAGAATAAAGATAATGAAAAATATGTTCTATTATTTTCTATGCAAATATGATTTTTCTCCATTTATGTAAAATTTTATTTCTTTCTTATCTTCCTGGTATGTCACTCAATCCACTGGAGAGGAGGGAGGAAGCTTTAAAACAGCGAAACAACTTTATAAACCTGAATCAGAAGCCAGTTACGTTATCCTCAAAGGTAGGAAAAATTCTATAGGTTTTAAAAAGTGATTTACCCATACAACACAAGAGAAGGAATCTAATTTATATTTATTGAGGAGTTTCATGAACTGCCAAAGTAACAATCTGTTCCCATAGCTGAAGTCATAAGATCAATTTCCACCTAACGAGAAAACATCATCTACTTTCTTCAATCCTAATCTTTTCCTTTGGGATCACAGGAAAAAAACAGAAGTATTGATGTGTTGAATATAAATGTCACAGTCCTGTTCTTCATACAACCTAATCAAAGCATTTAGATCAAGTATTTGTTGTTATTTATTTGGTATTTGTTTGATATCTGATCATTTGAGTTGAGAATTATTGCTTTAACATATTTTTTCAACCACCACAAATACAAACCAAATATTACTGTTCTCAAGTACCCAATAAAATCTTCATGTGATAATGAATTTGAGATTATGAAAAATATTTTTGAGAACTATATCTGAATATACTTTCAATAAAAATTCCATTGGAAGTTTTACCAAGCAGTAAATCACCTTTCTTACAGGAAAGTGATGATATAGTAACTACATAAAAATACAAAGTTGCTAGCTAAATGAAAAGATAAATGTTGTTCAAGAATGGC